TCCCTACACTGATTGCAACTCAAACTTTGCCAATTTCTGTAATGCATGAGAACCAGAAATGAAATGGGTTATATCTACCATTGCCAGTGAAAAATGCAAGTGAAATGCAAGTGAAAAATATAAACAAATATACTTTTACAATGCTTTTAACATTTAAATTTAAGATTAATCTGGCATACTGGTAACTTTCAGAATAATATTTGTTTTGAACAGCTGTCATTAAAATTGGCACTCCAAGGTGACATAATCTATGAAATTGTGAAAAAGAATTAGAAATCAAACAATTAGCTCTTTTTCCAGAAAGGTTTAAAAATCAATCTGTGTTTTGTAGATATTGGGCATTCATGCAGAGCTGTAATATTTGGGTTGCAAATGCAACAAGGGTATGCTTCAGTCCAGACTTGGAATAAACTTTATAAAAAACCAAAAAGCATATGTGAACATCAAGTTCTGTTAAACTGTTTTTACAACTTCTGTGTTTGGGGCCTAAAATTCTAACCATAAACTTGATTTTCTTTTTGATAGATTGCCTGATTTTGGCTGACTTCTCACACTTTTTTTCATAAGAGAAAACTGTAGTAAATATAGATATGCGTGTGATATCTGCCTGTAGTATATTCCTGTGGACTAGACTATCTCTAATTACATAGAGGTAGAATTTTTGGGGGACACCTAAATGGCATGGTGACCAGAACATTGCATATAGATATTTTTTTCCCTAGAAAGTATTCCACTTGTCATGCTGGGTTTCTTCAGTTTTAAGCAGCTTAATATACTCCGTATTTTTTTGTTTGTATACATATAAATGTAACATATTTGATATTATCCCTTTCACCTTTTTCATTGTTCCTATTTTCTTTGGAATATAAGACTTTGGGTTTAAGGTGTTATCATGTTGGACTGTTGTTAGCCGGGTGGCATTACTGATCATTCCTCACATGTTTGAGCTCTGAAATTTACTCTACTATGTTCCTATCATTTTGAAAAGACTGGAGAATTTTGGACTTGGAAGAATATTTTTAAAGAAATAATCCAGTTGAAGAAAGTCCCTAATCTAGTTCAGCATGATTATAGAAATATGTATATATGCACATATATTCAGGGTTTGTTTTATATTTTTTTAAACAGAAGAGCCTTGCTATAACTTACTCAATTTCAGTCTGAGATCATGATCTCTTTAAGTTTGTCCTCCAGAGAGCTTTATTTTGAATAATTTGGTTAGAAAGTCTCTCTGAGTCTCTTTTTTTTTAAATCACAGCAGTTTTATATTTAGTTTATAAAATGCATAGGTAAACTCTTCTTTTTCAAGGTAAGTATTGAATGAGAATTACTATGATAAAAGATGTGAGCAGAGAAAGGTAGTTAGCCACATTAGTCTGAACACCGGCAGAAAGCAGAATAGGTTTGCTCCTTATAGACTAAGTCAGAGAGAGCGAGCATAAGCTTCTGTGAGCCCAAGCCCATTTCATCAGATTTTTTGAAAGGACATGGACAACAGAGCAGTGTATCAAATGGAGAGAGAGAGAAAGATGATGATTATCATGGGTAAATTGAGAAAGGCAAGCAAACATTGGAAGATTGCAGTGTACTGAATCTGTGATGCTAAAGAGGGGAGATTAGAGAGGCTTCAAGTTATATCTGGGCTCTAGTTTCATTGTATTAAGAGGTAACTAGTATGAGTAGAACAGGATTGACTCACCTCGACTACTACACTGCTGGTAGTGTGTTAGGATGAGAACTGAATGAATGTAGGATGTGGTGGCAATATGTTACAGGGGTCATTTAAAGAAACATAGATATACTTGAAAAAACTTGAAAAAGTACTTGGAAAAAGCTTTCACAGCTTCCTTTGGCAAACCCACATACAGACTGTGCACAGTTAAGAATAAAGTTGGTTCAGTTTTAAACAGTTTTTTTGCCTCAGATACTCCCATGCATGCGTGTTGCAGATTGGTTAAAGTGCATGAGACATTAATTCCACTTTACTCTATGAATAATTAATTTAATAAACATTATTAAAAGAGAAACAGTTTTCCAACTTTTTAATTCTTAGACTAATAGTGTGGAAGTATTATTTAAAAAGATAGGACTTTAAAATACTTAAACTAGTCTTTTAAAAAATATAAGCAAAAGTCGCATTGAACATTATGTAAAATAGCACCTTGGGGCTCTGAAATTTCCTGGCATTTCAGTTTGAAGGCTAAACTGTGTCCTTACTTCACTGCTTTGTGCCTAGGTATTGTGAAAAAAAATTAAACGGTGTCTAGAGTGTCATCTCCAGAAGAGTAAGTGAAGTGACATATCGGTGGTCAAAGGCTAGTTTGCTTGCTTTTTAGCTTATTCTGAAAGTATTAACCATTCTGATGGACTACCATTTTATGTTGCAGGATGTGGATTAGCGATGCAAGTTCAAGCGTTAGGTACAGATATACTAATTTGTAGACCTCCTAGCTACCTAACTTCACTGTAGCAAAAAAAAAATAGAAATTAACCAGTTTATGTAGTATTGATTTGTGTAAAATACCACTTCTGAATTTTTTTCTTGTTTATTCAGGATATATGACTGGATGCCTGAACAACCAAATATATTCCAAGTAGAGCAGTTGGAACGTCTGAAGAAAGAGTTATCAGAACTGAAAAGCTGTGTATGTCCCTCTCTCAGCCACTTTAGTTCTTCAGCAATGTGTAAATGTCGTCATGGCCGCATGGAAGTGAATGGTATAGATAATTTACAGAAATCTTAAGGACTTAAAGGTTGACTCCAGCCAGAAACTTGCTTTGTGTATTTAATTTTCACCTCTGGAGCAGAGCTATCAATGCCTTTGTATTTTTGAGTCCAAATAAGCAATAACTAAATGTGTTCCTTTTTCCATGACAGTACTTGTTAAAATATCAAATCCTGTTTAAAAAAAAATTGGCCAGTTATAATTATTGTTCAAGTTTACATATACAGTTTTAAAACTTTCACAATCAAGTTTAAAATCGTATACTAGAAATCAAGTACTGTAACAGTGTTCAAACAGGTTTTACAAAATACACAATCTAAGTTGTAGTAGTTTAAAAAATGGTATCATAGAGAAGTTATGATCTAATATTGGAATGGCCAGAAAAAAAAAATTGACTCCAATACTAATCTGACAGCAGGAGATTAGGAGAATGATTGTAACGTATACATAATTATACCTGGTTTGAATAAATTGGTACCTCATATGCATGCATTTGCACTGATAGATCCAACTGTACAAAACCTTTGTGCCATCATAAAATATGTATATATTTTTTTAAGTAAACTGCAATGCACATGAATTCATTTTTCTCCCGTTAGTACCTTTAGACTGCTGCCTTTTTTCTTCTCTGCCAGCTGAATGAATTGTATAATGTATGAGTGTAGCAGTGAAGGACAAACCACAAGTACAGGTTTTCATTAATCGCACTCAGACCTGCTAAACTTCAAAATGCTGCAAATAATGTAACATTAACTAACTTGCAGCAGCTGTTTTATTGGCCAAGAACCTTATTGTTTTACAGTAACCTTAAAGGAGAAAATATATATAATGCACAAACTCTACAAAATGCATGCTTCAACTTTTAAGCATGAAATTATAGGTGTTTGCAATGGTCCTTGCATCCTTGTGGTGCTAGTTGAGTGTGAGGGTGACAAGGACTAACTAAACTATTTAATCTTTGTTGCCTAAAACCATAAGCCTATATTTGCAGATGTCCAGATAAGGCTTTTTACCATCTAGTTTGTCTTAATATGTATACAGACCACTTGCTTTTGTATTCCACAACAGCTAATTTTCCAAATCACAAATATTCAGATAATCTGCATCCTGTATTGACTGATATCTGTTCTTTGTAATTTATTCTGTAATGATAGTTTAGAATTCCTGTTAGGTATGTATGCATGTACTTAAACTTGTACCTCTTAAAATTGCAGGTCATGCCAACACAACAGCTGTAACTTTTTACTGAAGTGTTAATGTACAATAAGAATGAAAAATATTTATTTTTTTCTCTTGTAAATTGATTATGAGAACTATAGCTTGTATTATATTCTTTATATACAGTCATTGCAGCATAGAATTGATTGTATAAAACAGTACAGCAATTACAGATATGTGCTTGGGCCTGCACCACTGAATGATATTGAGTTTAAGGTAACTGGCTTCTTTCATCTTGTTATTTAAATTTCTGTCCTCCACAAGTGGCACAGTAGTCATTAGGTACTTGGGAATTGTCTTTATTTAAAAAAACAATAAAATACATTTTAAACCTGAATTTGGAAAAAGCTGCAATTTTTCTTATCGCGAGCCACTCTAAATTAGTTTCAAACCAATTTAATGTAAATCATCATAATGTAATGCCTTTTCCTTGAGTTGTTTTACAGGTCCGGATTCATAACATGGCTGATTTGTGACTGTGATATTACGAATGTCAAATTTATGTGTTTGTCCATGTATGTGAGGGATAACTAAAAGATTCCAAGTGTTTTAGTTGATCTACAAACCATGCCAGGGGTTACGTATGCAGAACTCTACACCAGATTAGATCATGGGAAGTAGCTCAGTATGTTCTTCTTTATTGACAATAATGAAAATTTCTCTTTCCTACCTATAGCACCAAATGGGCATATTGGGCCTGATCTAATTCCTCTCTTCCCCATTAGTGAAAATCAAGGTTTATCAGTTTTCTGAATTTCCTGTTGCAAGCTAGTGTTAGGAAGGGCAGGAATACTATCTCTCTCTATTCCCTGCACCCAAATGCCCAGCCCTCCTTGAACATCTCATCTGAGGGACAGAAAGTGTTTGTAGACCTGATAGAATAACATACTCCCACCCCTAAGCCACCACAGACAAGAAAATAAGATTCATCCCATCAGTTCCTGCTGCTGTGGTTTGTTTTCCCCCCTCCTGCTCTGTTTCCTCCCTCCCTACAACCCAGGCTTTACCAATTTCTGTGTTGGAAAACATAGACATTCTCCCAATATGTTCTATACTGACGATGACATTTAATCTCCTCTGTTCTCTTCTGGTTTCTGCCTTAGTCATCTTTGCCTTTGAATCCTGCAGTTCCTCATCTCTGGCCTCTCTGTCTTCCCTCTTCAACCCACCAAAAGTGTTCTGTGCCTCCAAATTGCATTGAAAGAGAAGTAGACAGCTGACTTGGTCTTAGAAAGGCTGTGCTTTAGGAAAAGGAAGTAGTTCCCAGTGAGGAACCAGTCTTACCTACTACTTGTCTTTCATGTGCTTGATTCTAGTTACAGGCAGTAGAGATAGGAAGTGGCACGTAGAAGAACCAGAAGTCCAGGAGTGGGCATTGTGGGATTGCTCTTGGAGGACATCCTGTGCTTAGCTCCTGGGTTTAGAATCCCAAGGCTGTAACAGGAGCCCTTTCAATCTTGTCCACATTAAATGTGTTGTTCCTATTCCTTCTTTAGGTTCAGCCTAATTCAGGTATGGTCCTGTGTCATGTGAGCCTCTCTGGCCTTCTCTATTCCTATGGTGAGAGAAGACCAGCAGTACCCAGCAGGCTCACTGCAGACAGGTGCAGCCCACAGTTGGCTGAAAAAAACAGCAAGAGCCAGGTTCCTACTGGCTGAAACTTTGAAGCTCCTTTCAAGCCTTTGTTTTTCCATTGAAGGCTATGAATTCTGAATGATCCAGCCACCTGCAGCAGCTTAGTTTTATTTGCTTTAATCAAGGAGGGAGATTCCTTTCCTCAAACAAACCAACCAACCTCTCAGGTTTGGGGAATTGATACAGAGTCCCTGAGTTGCAGTGGATAAGCCTGCTGGAATTTCTGTCCATACGTCTGAGCACTTGCCAAAGTTGAGACAGGCCCAGTCTTAGCAACTGGCAGCGGTGTTATAAATTAAATATTTTTCCAAAATTGGTTCACTTTGCTTAGAGAGGCTGTGCTGCCAACAGAGCCTGGGTAGCCTTGCAGCTAGGGGAGAATTGTCCTGTCCCATCGTCTTGTTCTGCCCCTCCTCCCATACACCTCCCAGGTTCACTGAGTGTGGGGTACAGGCAGCCTTTTAGCTGTGGGAGATACCTGGGGATTGGGAATAAGGCTGGAGAGACTGTCCCCAAGCCCAATTCCCAGCCCCCAAGCTTTAAATGCTGCCCCTGCTGCCCGGGGGTGGGACTGCAGTGCTACAGGGGCTGGGAACAGGGACCTAGGAAGCGCTCCCTGTCCCAGTTTACACCTCTGTGCTGGCCAGGAGGGTGGCACAAGTGGGAATTTAAAAGCCAGGGAATGGGACCCCAGGGTTGGGGAAGTTGCCCCAACCCTGCTTCCTGGTGCCTCCAGCTTTAAATCACCCCATGTGCAGCCCATCTGGGCATCCCACATGGTAACTTAAAACTCATGGGGTTGAAACTATTGACAGCCTGACACCTTCCACAGCAAGGGAGAGGACAAGCGGCCAGGTAATGGATTCCCCTAAGGGCAGGGATCAACCAGGAAACAATCGTAGTTCCCCTTGGTTGGTAAGCTTGCCTGTGTAGTTCTCCAGTCAGTGAGCTGAAACATGTAGGCTCCAGCTCCCAGGCTGTTTATCTACTGGTAAGAAATTCTCTGAAAATTACTCTGAAATTCTTACGGGTAGAAACAGTCTCTTTTCTACCTTGAATATATATTACTGTAGAGTCTCCCTTACCTTTGGCTTTTCCCCCCTCATTTTTCCCCCTCCCTTCCCTGCTCTACTTTTGTTTTCCTAATTTCCACCTATTTACATTCTCACTGACATCCCATCACACTTTTAGCTTCTCTCTTTCCTTGGAGTCTCAGAACAGCAGAGACTTCCTATGCCTGAAGAAGGGTGATTGAGGCCGAAAGCTTGCAAAAAACTTTTGCCCCCAAGTACTTAGTTGGTCTAATAAACGATACCACGTCTACCCAAAGAACCTTGCCTTACTGGTAGAAATGAATGTCTGTATGCAGTCAATATAGCCTCTTTACCTTTGATACAAATCCAGACAAAAACCTTAGAACCATACTACAGGTTTTGCCACAGAGCCTGTTGCTAAATAAATCTGGATCTGAATGCTCCAAAGTCTGAGAGCTTTGTGATCCAGATCTCAGAGCTGTCACTCATCTGCCACTGAACCCTGCCTAGAGCTGTAGCTTGAGACAAAGCCTGAAGTGTAGGCACTCTCAGAGTAGGTGTTCTGCAGCCTGTCTCAATAGTGATGCCTAGTCCTGCAGGCACGCCCTGGGCATGCCTGTGGCGCTCAAAAGGTATATGGGAGCAAACATATCAGCCTAGTTCCAGGCTCACATCTGGGGTGAGAGGCACTTGCTCTGCCAGATCTAGTTAGGATCCTGAGTCCTCTTCAGTCCTTCACATCTTTGGTGAGTGTCCCACTACTGGGCTGATGCAGTCAGCCTTACCTTGAATAATCATATTGAAGCAATGCATCTCCAGCAGGACAGGCAGAGCACATGCCAGCTGATGTTGGCCAACAGTACCAGGGCTAGGACATGCTTCTCAGAAGTAGGAAATGTGTGTTCCAGACCCTTCTGTAACCTGCTCATAACAGGAGTATGGATCAGGGTTTGAAGTCCATCCCCCTGATACTATTGCCTATACTAGGATGGGCCTTTCTCATGTCCCATGTGTTGGTTGACATGGGAAACTTGGGTGCCTCCCTCCATACAGGGTTGAAGATCCTGAGCAGAGGGAGGCAACTCTGACCTGTTAAGTTCTTATGTCCAACTGATTTCCTCTGCGTTTCAGTGAGGGTCCCCACTCAGCTGACCTCTGAGGGTCTCTTTCTTGACAGCTAACGTCCTCACCCCACTATGGTCAGCCTGGGCACCTAACACAACTCATGATTTCCCTGGGTGGCAGGGCAGCTACAAATTAGTCTTGAGGAAAACCAAGATCTAAGTGCCTTTGAGAATCTCATCCTTGGTCTTTCTGGCAGTTAGGACCCCATCTGTAAAGGGGAGATCCTGCAGGCTTTTGCCTCCCAGAGCTGTTGGGAGGATAAATACAGTCCAAAACTGAAGCACCCAACATGCAAAGTAAATTTAAATCAACACAGTCTAATTGAAATAGGCCAGAGCTAGAAGCCAGGGGTTACATTAGTTTAGCTGGGAAGACCGACCTGAGCGAATGAAGCAGCTGACAACTTCAGACCCTACCCTGCATCCACCTGAGCAGTTGTCTGCCAGTGTTCATCACTGCATCAGCAGTCTCAACCCAGTCCTGTGGCTGCCTTTCCATTTCACGCGCTAGCAGCATTGGAAGCATCTTGGAGCACACATGTATCCTCATTTCACCTGAAGGAAATGCCATTCAGCTGACATGCTGGCTGGACTAGAAGCCATCGGCCTGATAGGGGTGAGTGACAGTGCTAAGCGCCCTGGTGGAATCTAAACAGTAAGCAGAACAGCATCCAGCCATCCTGACACTTGGCAGCATGCTCTTGCTGTGTTTTATAAGCCTGCTTGACACATTTTCAGCTCCCAGCAATGCTGCTTCAGAGAGCTGCAGAGATGTGGGGGCTCCACCCCTGCATGAAACAAGCTGCAGCTCCAGTGCAGTGTGTACTCCTGCTCAGGTACTGGATAAGAGCCTGAAGATAAGATCTTAGTGCACTGTAGTGGTACAGTGTGCTCCTTGGAGCCCTGAGAAATTAGCCCGACATCACCTCCTGTGAGCAGACAGTCTTCTGCATTGGAGGTGTGTGGAATGACAGGAGGCCACACAGACGTGGATGGGCCCTGGTGGCTTCCCTGCGTAGTCAGCTGTCAGCCAGTCCAACCTCTGCCAGGAGAAGGCTTGTCAGGAAGGCAAGCCCTAGGTCTGCCTGGTCTAGTTAGATTGTTTAACTCTTTAGGGCAAGGTGCATCTTTTGCTCTGTGCTTGTGCTTCTTTCAATGGAGGCCCCAGATGCTACTGCGATACTACTTGTAGTAGGTACAGTAATAATGATCATTATCTTTTCTGCTTCTTGAGCAAAAGCTAAATCAGTTAAAATGATCAATTGGACTACACCGGTGTATGGGTGTGAGGATATATAGAGTATTTAGCATTTATGCTGGCACTGATTAATTCATTTTAATTACTTTTTTCCTCTACTGAGATGACATTAGCACCATTTAGATATGGTACTGTAAAGTACAGTGGTTAAAATCTTGAGTGGTTCAGACAAGTGGAAAATAAATTTAGTGAAGACCAGCTTTCTGAGTGTGTACATGTGCATTTCCAGCCAGGTGGTTTTTTTTCCTGCACCATTGTTCTTTTCCTGTACCATTGAAGG